TTCTTATGACCAGTGTCATATTATGATCTGAAAGACCAGTAATACGATTGTATATTTTTGTTACTCTCTCTGGCTGTCACGTTCTGCCCCTGCCCTCCTGACTGTGTTTCTCTCCTGCCCTGATTAGTCCGTAATGTTCTCACCTGTCCCTCGTTAACCTGCCCATGTTTCCCTAATTAGCCTTCTGTATTTATACCACCTGTTTTGCTCCTGTCCTTTGTCAGATCATTGTTGCTTGCAGTCCTTGTGTTTTGTTCCTGTCGTTCTCAGTCCTCCATTAAAACAATTTTATTTTTACTGAAGCCTGCATTTTTTACCTCCTGGTCAGCTCTGCCACACATGGTCCGCCGTCATCCACACCTACATCGTGACAGAATGATCTGACCACAACCTGGACCTGTGGTGAGCTTTGTTACATCTCCCTGGAGGATTAATTTTTTTACTTTTTCCCCTTTAGCGGAGGGAGATTCGGACTCAGTGTGTTTGGCGCATCCTACCTGTTCTCCGGGGTGGTCGAACCATTGAGGGGGTTCGGCGCATCCTACTCGTTCCCGGGGTGGTCGAATTCCTTCTCCTCTCCTGCTTTCTGCCCCAGTCCCGCTCTTCTCATGGAAGCCACGGATCCTGGAGCTTCAAGGGAGTTACACCCCCTACGCACGCCATTGTTCTCCGGGGTGGTAGGGCTGGTCTCCCCGCTCTTATCCTGCTTCCCTGCACCCAAGGCTCTGCCTGAAACCCAGCAATCGTGCTGTGCACCTGCTCTGACCGGTTGTCGAGTGCCTGCCACCGATCTTGGTTTCCTCGCGTCGCTCCTACAGATCATCCATTTCCTGGTCCACGCTGGTGGGGCTTATGCCTGCAGGTCTCATGCTGCTGCAGCCTCTGCTGGGTCCCACGCCTGCCGCTGCAGTTCTCCGCTGGGTCCCACGCCTGCTCCTGCAGTTCTCTGCCCGGGTCCCACGCCTGCTCCTGCAGTTCTCTGCCCGGGTCCCACGCCTGCTCCTGCAGTTCTCTGCCCGGGTCCCACGCCTGCTCCTCAAGTGTTCCTGTGTCAAGTCAAGTCAAGTGTTCCTGTGTCAAGTTGAGTGTTCCTGTGTCAAGTCGAGTGTTCCTGTCCCCAGTCCCAAGTCTAGTTGAGTGTTTCCGGTCTCTTGTGTTGTGTAGCCTTGTGGGCGTCTGGTGTCCGCCCTTAAGGGGGGGTGGGGGGGGAGTGTGTGTGTGTGTGTGTGGGGGGGGGGGGGGGGTACTGTCACGTTCTGCCCCTGCCTGTCATGGCTCGAGGTAAGTGTCTAACCCAAGACATGCAGAATCAACACACATAGTCCAAAGTAGTAAAGTAAAATGTCTTTATTATAAAATGGGAACTGAAACCGCACAGGGAAGTCCTGTGGGATGAGCAATACGGCTCGAGTCTCTGAAGTGCTCAGGTTGATGAGATGATGAGAGGAAGCCAGGAAGGACGTTGGGCAGAGGGTGAGAAGTCCAGGAGAGGTGAGGTAGCAGAGGGAAGCCAAATAGGAGCAGCGGAGGAGGATGGGACGTGATGTGTGTTATCCAGGGAATGAAGACAGCGAGGGTGAGGAGATGAGGAGAGGATCCTGAGTGGAACAAAAACCAGGCGTGAGGGATAATCCAAATCGTAATCCAAAAACACAATCCGAGGTCATAAATCCAATGGTCAAACACAAGTCAAAAACACGAACAAACTTGATCAAGGTCAAAGGCTGGTGCTACCTAAACTCGTGCAATCATCCGGCAAAGTGATGTGTCTCCATCCTCCTTTTGAACCCGCGTCCCTGATTGGGAAATCTCCTGCAGCTGCCGCTCCCCCTGCTCCTCACCTGTGGAGAATTAGCTTAGAGTCTGGTGAGAGGAGAAGGTGTGACTCACCTCTGCCCAGGAACATGACACTGCCCTCCTGACTGTGTTTCTCTCCTGCCCTGATTAGTCCGTATTGTTCTCACCTGTCCCTCGTTAACCTGCCCATGTTTCCCTAATTAGCCTTCTGTATTTATACCACCTGTTTTGCTCCTGTCCTTTGTCAGATCATTGTTGCTTGCAGTCCTTGTGTTTTGTTCCTGTCATTCCCAGTCCTCCATTAAAACCATTTTACTTTTACTGAAGCCTGCATTTTTTACCTCCTGGTCAGCTCTGCCACACATGGTCCGCCGTCATCCACACCTACATCGTGACACTGGCCTGCTCCCTAAAGTAAATTAAAACACCCCCTCCCCTTCCCTGTCTTTTCTGTAGCATGTGTATCCTGGTAAATTAATTAGATCAGTAGGAATATTACTAGTCAACCAAGTTTCAGACATACACAAGAAATCCATATTAAACTCCATAAGCATGTTCTATATCTGATCCATTTTTGGTAGTATGCTTCTAACCTTTATATGCCCTCTCAATATTCCATTGTGCTAGATTATTATGAAGTGTCAATGTTTTGCTTGCTTTTGTTATAAACCACAATAGCCCTCTGGGATTGAAATGTGAAGCTTTAAACAATTTCAATGAGTGCCATATAAAAGATTAAAAGAGTAGAAACCAATATCGATAATTTCCAGTATTACATTTTAAGGCCAGTATCTGCCGACAACATTGGACGTCCCTATAGCTTTTTTCAGCTACATAACCATGATGCCTTGGTCACATGTTATTTGATGTTAGTAAAGACAGCAGATAGACACAAGATGATGCAAGAGTTTTGTTGTTTGGCTCAGACTGAAAACACAGATGGTCCATCATGTGGCTCCTCATTATTCCAGCATCAGGTCAACATGTCACTTCTCAGAGCTCAGGGCGCCTTACATGATGCATTTCTCTGTTAACTGGGTTATAATGACAGCGATGCCACTGACAGTCGGGAATGCTAGTCCTTCACTGTTCATTTGCTAGTGTTGTGATGTCAGCCGGGGAGAAACTAAACATAGCATTCAACACATAAAACTGAACTTTATAGCCTAGAAAAGCATCTACGTATGTTTTAACTAGTCTCTTCTGAGCTGATGATCGGAATGCTGGTTAGAACATTTGAGTTAAACCATCTGGTCAGGAGCTTCAACAAAGATAAGATGAGCCATTGAAGAAACACTTTTGAATCTTTTGTTCAGCTTTTTCTTTAAAGTGGACGAACCACTCAAAGCCATATTTTGTTTTTCAACCATAAATAATGTAAAAAGGTGAAGTTGTACTGAAATTTCTCTACCTCGATCCCAGTTGCACCATTACTCAAGAACAAATCTTCTGCACATCAGGTGTGAAATTACTGTCCTCGGTTCTTTAAAGACTGACACTTCTGTCCACTAGTAAGGACTGGTCATTTACAATACATTTGATATAATGTGGTATGACAGAATATCATCAAACTCTCCCTCACTTCAAAAATAAGCTCGAAAGATGGGGTATGATCCAATTCCCCCCATGCCATCACTGCTGTCAGAAAATTCTATTCATCTTCTTTTTCATTTTCTCTTGTAACAAGAAGCTGTCAAGGCCCAAGGGCTTTGCCTTGCAGTTTGCTTGGCTATGTTTATAATTGGACCCTGTCAACAGTGTCCAGTGCAACTCAAGTGCAAGGTTTGTTATGGCAGCTTGTGTGATTTCAACACATGCCAGCTGTGAGATGGTTTGTCTGTCATTAATGCATAACTGCAGGAAGATGCAGGCATAACGGTTGCATCCACGTGTTTGTGGCTGGAATAAAAAGGATCTAAACGGGATCAAAGGAAGCTGGGCGCAGCTCAGTTAAATACTTCCAGGCTCCAGGAGTGCAGCACACTTACATTAGTGTATGCATAAGCATACAAAGGCCGAGTGACAAATTGAACATTTAGAGCAGCTGTGAATGTCATAAAACAAAAAAAACTACATTTGAGCTGCATAAATTACATTATATTTTATTGCACAGACATGCTGATTATATGTAATAACTGCAAATGCCATGAAGGTTTAAGGATGTTGCAAGCTTATCTAGTTGCTCATCGGGGGTCCACCTAAAGCGTGTTTTAATCTCCTCTATATCTGCAGCTCTTATCTGAATTTGCAGCAGGTGTCTTTGGGTCCCAATCAAATCTGCTGTTAATTTAATTCTGTGATTTCTGACCTGCCCCACTGTGTCGCAAAGCATCTGTGTGGGTGTTCTCTCCTAATCAGCACTTGTTCTCCACAGACTGAGTGGTGCAAAAAAGAGGTCGGATTAGGACTGAGCTTGTCAGGCAAGAGTCAGAGGGAAAAACTCAGCTTGGAAAAGTGTCCAACTGCTAGAGGACAGAAGGAAATGGCACAATGTCACTGCGCGACTGCAATAAATACGGAAGAACTTTGATCTACTTGAGAGGAGATTTTGGGTTGGGTGAGACCAGGGTGAGACACATGGAGACAGGGTTCTGTAATTCTGACACTTTGGTTATATTAAATACCTGTGGGCAAATATTTCAGCACGTTATGTAGCCTAATTTTCCAAATGACTTTACTGTTGAAAACAATTTTGTCTAATAAATGATACCGAACATGCTACCTCTTGATCACAAACACACCTCTAATTGGATTTGTTTTAATCAACAGTGAATTTGTTTGGATTTTGACGGTAGATACCACCAGGGGGAGACAAAGACCTTTTTCCATCAAATTTTGATTGATTGAAGTTCAATTTTTGTCTTTCAGGACCAGCTTGTTTGCAGTGTTCAGACATATTTTTCACACATGTTGAATAATTTGGATGACAAACGTACCATACAATAACTGCAGCCCCCCCCCCCCCCCAACCCCCCCCCCCCCATCCCCACCCCTATGTGTGTGTGTGTGTGTGTGTGTGTGTGTGTGTGTGTGTGTGTCAATTTTTCTTTGAGGTCCTGTTTTCCCTTTCCCAGATGACGCAAACAGCGTCCTTTTTAAACCTGATTTATGAATTCCTGTAGGAGACTCGACCAATCGGCAACGAGGGGGGCGCGGCTCGCCTTACTTCAGCGAAGCAGGAGTATGAAGTTCAGCTCAACAGTGAACAGCTGCTGTGAGAGGATGATGCACCTCAGCGGACGCAGGTGCGCACTGTTCTCCAACTCTGATTTGATATTCCAATAACTTTTGCTGCGCCTGTTTTTGTGCGCAAAGTTCGGCGAGTCTCCGCTTCGGTTCCGCTCTCTCCACAAATGGCTTATTGGATCATCTTCCCGCATTTGCACGCGACTGGCGCAGCTCTGGTCCTGCTCGCGCTGATTCTGACAGGTGATGCTGCCGCGGATGTTTTCAACAGCCATGGATTATCTTACGCCCTAAGGTCCGAGCTTTCTGAAGACACCATACTGGTGGCTGATAACGGGATCCGCGTGCCTTTCGGGAGATCCGTTTTCATTGATCCCATTAATGATCTGGTTATCCAAGTTCAGCCCGGCGATAGATGCAGCGTTACGGTTTTGGATAACGACCCCTTGTCTCAGCGACCGGGACAGCTGTCTCCGAAAAAGTTTCCGTGTGAATTTGGCCCCAACGACGTGAAGTATTCCCACTTTGGCTCCAGGAGTCCCCCGAGAGACAGCGTGAGGTTACAACTCAGGTATGACACCCAAACGGATACGATCATTATCCCGTTCATGATGGAGGTGGAAGTCATTTTCACGCAGCTGGAAGTGGTTACCAAAAACATGCCAGTCACTGTTGACAGCCTGCTGGGAATGAGTAATCCCATCGATAAAGGAATTCTAGAATTTACCTTTGATAGAAACACACAGCAGTGCAAAGTAGTCTCCCCCTCCAGTGGAAGCATGCTTCCCAGATATGGAAAACTTGTGGATGAGGACAGCCTGGGAACAATGTTAGACTGTGATGAGTTTATTAAAATGAACACCTGTTATCAGCACACCTCTGCTTTGAAGTCACCAAACAGAGATTACATTCCCATGCTTGTGGAATTACACGACAGAGAGGGAAATGTGCTCAAGCAGGAATTTTTCCAGATTTTGGTGAGAATAAAGGACGGAGAGGACAACACGCCTCCTAAACCCAGTTTTGTTGCTATGATGATGATGGAAGTTGACCAGTTCGTAATGACCGCGATAACCCTGGATATGTTAGCTGCGGAGGATGTGGAGTCTAATCCTGATGAATTAATTTTCAACATCACCTCCCCTCTCTCCTTTGAAGAAGGCTACATAGTCAGCACCGATGACAGGAATTTACCAATAACCTCGTTTTACCAAGGGGACCTCAAAGAATTTAAAATTGCGTATAAACCTCCTGCTGTGGATTCAGACACTGACCGGATTTTCCAGATTGAGTTTGAGGTGGTGGACACGGAGGGGGCTGTGTCAGACCCCTTTGCTTTCATGATTGTGGTTAAGCCTATGAACACATTGGCCCCTGTAGTCACCAAAAACACCGGCCAGTTACTGTATGAAGGTCAATCCAGGGCTCTGTCTAGTTCACATAATCTAGAAATTAGTGATGAGGACAATTTAGACACAGTCAAAATTTCTGTTATTGATGGCCTGAGGCATGGAGAGTTAACCGTTCTTAGTTCCAGGAGGAAATTTTTCACCCCGGCTGACCTCGATGCTGGAGCAGTCATTTATCAGCATGATGGCAGCGACACCTACAGTGATAACATCATATTCAGGATGACAGATGGCACGCATGACGTGGAGTTTTTGTTTCCCATCACTGTTGTTCCAACCGACGACGAACCGCCCATAATCAATGCCAACACTGGGTTGGTTCTGTTTAAAAACCAAATGATGCAAATCTCCTCACTTACGCTCAGCGCGGCTGACATCGACTCAGAAGATTCAACAATAAAATTCACATTAGAGCCTCCCACTTCAACAGTGGGGCAGGTGTTGCTGCGTCAGTCGGAGGCACCAGAGGACCCATCTACTTGGAAGTTTAACACCGGGGATGAAATGTATGAAAAAGTTGTGACTGAATGGATTCAGCGGGATATTACTGATGGAAAGCTGTTTTACAAACACGTAGGGCCTCACAGCACCAGAGCAGTCTTGGATCAGTTTGTGTTTAGAGTCCAAGATGATAATGACCCACCTAATCAGTCAGGTAAGAACTCTTTTATAATTAAAGTTCTCCCTGTTGATGACCTCCCACCTGAACTGTACCCTGGCACAAACCTACAAATGACTGTACACGAGTATCAGCTTACCTACTTCCAAAATAAATTCCTCCGGTACACCGACCTCGACTCTGAGGATCGTGATCTCAAATACACAATCATCCAACCACCAACGGACACAGATGAGAATAACCCTGTTGTACTGGGAGCTCTGGTGTTGACTGAGAACTCCAACACTGAAGTCACAAGTTTCACTCAGGCGCAAATTAACCACCATAAAATAGCTTACAAACCACCGGATCTTGAGCTAGGAATTACCACACATGTTGTACAGTTCAGGTACACTGTGGAGGATTTGTCTAGAAACACGGCAGAAGGAATTTTCCAAATATTCCTAAAGCCTGTGGACAATAAACCCCCACAAATAACAAACTCTGGATTTACTGTCCTGGAACGTGGCAGACATGTCCTTACTAGAGCTGAGCTGGACACCACTGACACAGATACAGACAGCAACAAGATAACCTTCACTATTACGCAGCCTCCTCTCCATGGTCAAATCCAGTTTACATTAACTGACTTGTCAAAAGGAGATACTTTCAATCTGCAGGATATTGGAAATGGCATGATCTCATACACCCACAGTGGAGACGAATCAACAGCAGACTTAATACAAATTGATGTCAGTGATGGGGTGCACATTGTCCCAATAACTATAAAGATTACTGTGAAGCCGATTGATGATGAGATCCCCACTATTAGTCTTCCTGCTGGCACGATAGGATCCTACTTAGATGTACTGGAAAATGGAGCTACAGAAATTACAAGTAATGTCATCCAGGGAAAAGACGAGGACACTGATGACCTCCGTTTGACCTTTATTGTTGAAGACAAGCCATCATTTGGTGAAATCCTGGTGAGAGGGGTTCCGTCTGACACGTTCACTCAAGCTGATATCATTAACGGCTTTGTGCTCTATGCTCACACCAGCGGCGAGATAGGCATGAACACAAAGGAGGACTTTTTCAACCTCACTCTGACAGATATGTCTGATGAGTGGACTGTAGGAGGAAATAAAATTACAGGTGTTAGAGTGCATGTAACTATTCTTCCCCTGGACAGCCAGGCTCCAGAGGTCTTTGTGGGGCCACAGTTTAGTGTTACTGAGGGAGAAAAGAATGTCATTCACATTCTTCACATAAGTGCCGATGATATTGATACCCCCAGTGATGACCTCCTTTGTACAATTATTGTACAGCCAACTTCAGGGTATGTGGAAAATATATCTCCGGCCCCAGGCTCAGAGAAATCCAGATCAGGAACAGCTATTAGTGCTTTCACCATCAAGGACATCAGACAGAATCACATTTACTATGTTCAAAGCATCCATAAAGGAGTTGAGCCAGTGGAAGACAGGTTTACCTTCAGATGCTCTGATGGCATCAATTTCTCTGAACGGCACTTTTTCCCCATCTCCATAATCCCCTCTAATGATGAAAAGCCCGAGATTTACATGAGAGAATTTGTAGTTATGGAGGGCATGAACATAGTTATTGACACTCCCATCCTGAATGGCGCTGATGCAGATCTTCCTTCTGATCATCTCACGTTCTACATCACCATCGCCCCTAGACACGGATTTATTCTCAATCAACTTCCTACTGGCTCCGTCCTCGTGTCTAACTTCACCTTGGATCAGATCAGGGAGGCCTCCGGTATTGTGTATGAGCACGATGGCTCAGAGACAACAGAGGACAGCTTTGATATTGTTCTCACAGACGGAAAGTTCAACGTAGAGAAAACAATAATAGTTATGGTTATCCCCGTGGATGATGAAACTCCAAGGATGGCGATAAACGATGGCCTGGAAATTGAAATAGGTGAAGTTAAAGTAATAAATAGTAATGTTTTAAAAGCCACTGATCTGGACTCAGAGGATAGCACACTGACTTACATTATCAGATACGGGCCCGGTCAGGGATATTTGCAGAAAACTTTGCCATCTGGTGAATTCCAAAATATCTCAGTTGGAATGAATTTTTCACAGAATGAATTAGATCAGGGATTGATTATATATATCCACAATGGACAAGAGGGAATCCGCGATCTCATCAAATTTGATGTGACAGATGGGTTCAACCCTTTAATCGACAGATACTTTTATGTAACAATTGGTGGTATTGACATGGTTTTCCCTGATGTAGTCAGTAAAGGTGTATCCCTTAAAGAAGGTGGAAGAGTTACTCTGACAACTGACCTGCTCAGTACCAGTGATCTTAACAGCCCAGATGAACACTTGGTTTTCACCATCACTCGCGCTCCTGTCCGGGGACACCTGGAATGCACAGACACACCCGGGATCCCAATTTCATCCTTTACACAACTCCTGCTGGCTGGCAACAAAATCTACTATATTCACACTTCTGATGACGAAGTGAAAATGGATAGCTTTGAATTTGAAGTGACTGATGGCTACAACCCCGTATTTCGCACTTTTCGCATCTCCATCACTGATGTTGACAACAAAAAGCCTGTAGTAACAGTGCACAGCCTGTTGGTGACCGAGGGAGAAAACAAGCTCATCACACCCTTTGAATTAACGGCTGAAGACAGAGACACAGTCGATCGCCTATTGAAATTCACAGTCATTCAGGTCCCTGTTCATGGTCGTCTGCTCTTTAACAACACCCGGCCTGTCACCTCCTTTACAAAGCAGGACCTGAACCAAAACTTGATCAGCTACAGACATGATGGCACAGAGAGTGCAGAGGACAGCTTCTCCTTCACCGTCACTGATGGTACCCACACAGACTTCTACGTCTTCCCCAACACAGTATTTGAGACACGAACACCCCAAGTGATGAAGATTAGGGTACTCCCGGTTGATAATGGGGTGCCACAAATGATAGTAAACAAAGGTGCCCCAATGTTGCGGGTTCTGGAGACAGGTCACTTGGGATTCATCATCACCAGTAAGACCCTTAAAGCTGAGGACAGAGACAGCATTCAGGACTCTGTCACTTTTAGGATTACTACAGCACCTGAACATGGTTACCTGATTAACCTTGGCAGAGGAAACGCCAGCATAACCACCTTCACACAAGGTAAGTCCTATTTTTCTGTCAATACTGTGACAATCTGCTGATTTTCTCACTGAAAACACATTTTATTTCTCCAAGGATGATGCTAAACTTAAACTCTGTTCATGTTTAAATCATGTACTAAATGTGCCGCGCTGTCTGATGCCTGAAAATGCCTCTTTCTTTGTGATTGCTGTTCGTGTTTTATCCACGAGAAAGTATATTTAGAAAGGGGCTATGTGCCCCAGGCTTACGAGATCTCCAGATGAAGGTATTTATCAAACATCGCCTAGTGGGTTTCACTTTGGGAGATAACTGGTGGCGATGTGGGCATTACTGCACTACTATTTTCTAAAAAAGAGACAAAAGCATTGCAGCCATGATACCAGATAATATGAACAAGGCAACATGTCAAAGAGAATGAGACTGACTCAAAGTAAATCACTTGCTTAGTAAACAATGCAGGGTACTGCCTAAGTTACTTTTCAAACAAACCAGAGGGTTGTCTTTATAAATGGTAAATATTTGTGCAGCAGCATGAGCGTGCTTTGACAGTGTCCGTGTTTTTCCTGCATTTATTTACTGAATCGATGTGACAAACAGCCCCCGCAGACTAAATATTCACAAGTAAACAGTCAAAACAGAAGCTGTCTAACAGTAATTTGTGTTTTTGGGGATTTTTTCTTTATTTTTTGGGGGGAGGGGGACCAGCAGGTTTGAGATTTGATGTTTTGACAACTAATGGTGAAGAAAGTAAGATTGTGCATTTGACAGCCTACCAAATGAATCCTATTTAGCATCAAAATGACAAACATTTAAGTGATGCTGCACCATTAGTCAAGCTGTTCCTTATGTTTTGTAGCATTCAGCACTTTTTACCAGTTTTCTTTCTAAATCCCACAACAAAATTAGCTTGTATAGTTCGTCATCACGCACTATACATTGTAATGCACAGTTTGAGATTTGCCTTTGACAAAAAAGATAGTTTAATCATCTTTTTATCTGCATTGAATTGTTTCAGCCGAATAATCCATGATTGTTAAAATAACATTGCTGCCATTTATGCTAATTCTTTGAATTGTTTTCAGCTGAAATCGATGACATGAATATATGCTACGTTCTGAGGAATGGTGAGAGTGCCACAAATGATATCTTTCATTTCTCCATCGAGGACAGTGGTGAGTCCTATGTTTTTCTTGGTCTATGACGATGGGAAAAGGTTGAAATGGGATATAGTTATGCTGATGGATGAGTCTGAAGCTTTCAGGTGTTTTACACACTCTCAACTTGAGAACAGTGGATTTCTCAAACATAAGAAAGGGTTGCACACATAACTGTGGCCTAATTAGGGGGGAAAGTGTGTGCAAAGGTAGGAAGGATTTCAAGAGCCACAACTTCACACAGTTCCTATTTCAGGTGAGGAAATAGATACCAAAGAAAATGTACGCTGTTTACACTGTGCATGGTTTTCTCTTTGCAGGAGTGTATAGGTTTATAATATTGTAGCCGAGACCAAAAGATTGGAATGTCAGGGTTACTTTCTTATTAAATCTAAACATTCATGTTAGTCTTATTGCAATTTACTCTATAAGAAGCCCTTCCTTATGGCTCCCATCTATAATTACCAAGTATAATTTATGTTTTACATTTTTTGTAAGAAATTATTCATTTAGCGGATGACTAATTAGTAAAGCAATTAGCGTAGCCCTTCCCTCTGACGGAGACTTGTAATCAGGCACAGGCTCAGTGAAAGTTGGAGGCAATCATGTAGCAGAAGCAGTGTGCCTTACAGTGTGTCCTTTTCTCTACCCCTCAGCTGTGATGAGTGAGCACAAAGAAGCACTCTAATGGGGGCCCGCTTTTCCCACAAGTACCTCTGTGGCCCCTCTACTCATTTTCTCATTTCCCATTTCTCAGCACAAATCTGTTGCTTCAGTTAAAATCAGTGGCAACAGGTGGATGGGGTGCTGACGAATGATGGCTGGAAAGCAAAATCTGGCGTTGACTTGCGGTTCTTTATCTGAGCCGCTGTTTGTGCCAAGCGCATTTGAAACTCTGTTGTTGCTGAGGCTCCATCGGCCCCTCTCTTATTACCTCACTCTGGTTATTTGTCAGACATCTCTGGTGGTTTTTCGTCCTCTCTGTCATTCTCCCAATGACACACTTGCATCTCACACTCATAATTTGATTTCCATAGCTGGTAATTAGAACTGCTTTCTCAGTGCTCTTTACACTCTTACTTAAAAGTTAATCTGTGTGTTACTTAAACCAGTGTTTTGTGCTCACACCTACAGTATTTCATGTATTGATATTAAATTTGTGGATTTTTTTTGTTCCTAAAAACCTTTATAAATGTTAGTAATGTCCCAAATTTTTGCCTCCGATCCAAGTCCAATTCATTTGATTTTGAGTATACCAAATCCCAATCCAACACTTCAGCAATGCACTAAAATAAAGGATTAGGTTTTTAATTGTTATTTATTTTATTATTTTTTTCTGTATTTATGTCATTTCCTTAATTGATCAGCTTAAAAAACAATCACTCTTTCAGAAAGCGCATTGATAAGAAGCATGTTAATATTAGGAATGTTTAAAATGAACCTTGTCACTTTCAAATCTGTTACTTCTTGAGTACATTGCTGTACTGAACAACACACGTTTCCTGTGACTGGCTCTTCTCTGCAAAACGCTGGTAGAGCTGCGTCACTGAAAAAGTAGCAAAAGTACTGAAAAGGTCAGTGAACTTGGTCTTTAAGGTGTGTCATCAATGCAACAATGAATATTAATGTAGTGGATCTTGTTCAACTTAAGACGAAGCCATTGTTACTCCGTTTGAAAATCTCATCTCAGGGTACATTTACAAGGTCAAGTTGGTTGTTTCATAAGGTTATACATGATCTTTTCCCTCTGATTCCGACCGTTTGGAAATCACGTGATCAGGCCGTATGTCCGATCCCATGATAGGATCAGAGCATCTCTAATAAATTTATAAATGAGAACACGACCATCCATGAGGACATCTTATGTACTGCGCTGTACGACGCTTGTGTGGTGGTCAGTAGCTACGTTTACATGCGCCAAGTCCCCCGATCCAATTCTTGGTTGATTGGAAATCCCAAGTCTCTGTTTACATGGGCACTAACTGAAATTATCCGATAATGCCATGGCATGAGTATGCATACACCAAGCCTTCAGCCAGATTAAACAGGTTGAGCATGCACAGAGGTGTCTTTCCCAGAAAAAATTGTAAACAAACACCATCTTGTCCGCACGTCTTTCCCCTCACATTTCATTTTATTATTCTCTAGCTTTGTCCGTTGACTTACGTTTTTTTGGACATTCTTCACATTTTTACCTGTATGCTTTTGTTTTTACTAATCGCTTTAACTAAGCTACAGGCTCAGCGGTACGTAACGCTATGGCTCCTCCGCCATAGGAGAGGAGAGCAGTGTTGTCGACATGTCCAGAGCGTCTAAAAGGCAGGAAGCCATCACACCGTAGCTGCACACATGCGCAATGTGCATTATTTTACTCCAAGAATCCGAGTGAGTATGTACATGGCATCAATCGGACTGGTGATTGGACAAAACCATGCCTCTCAATCGGAATGGAATTTCATTCCGATCGGTCTGTAACAGAGCTGAATATTCCAACTGACATGTTTACAGGAAGAATGTTTGATCTGATAGGGCATTCATTCTGAATACTTGTGCCCATGTAAACATAGTCATTGAACATTTTTCAATTAGATTTGAGCTGTATTGGTGGCAGCCCTGAATCCCCGGGGCTCGTAGCTCTTTGAACAGCCGTCTTGTGGAGGAGCGTTCTCTCCCACACAGCTGCTCTGTGTCATGTTAAACAACAAGAAACATTCCCCTTCTCAATTCCAAGTTTATTGGATGAATGCAACTTTGCAAGGCCTTTTAGGTTGAAAGAGTTGTTTTGTCTGTTGCAGCAGCTTAGTCGTATTCCTGGATTGTGTATTTTATACTCGTCTGGTTGAGCTTAGTCGTGTTTGCTGCTAACTGCCTTTGTGCTCGGATTTGTGTCCCCTTCTTTTTTTAGTTTGGTCAGTTTTACTTAAATATCATATAGCACACCTGCAAAACCCTGTTATATGTTTTTTACTTTATTTTAAAAAGAATAATATTACATTAAGCTGCTCTTTCAACACATTAATGCACTTTCATGTTTTTGCTGCTTTTGCTTGTTTTTACAAAAAGGGCAAATAAATGAAAAGTGACAAGCAATTTTTTAAACTCTTTCCATATGTTTAAGTCAATTTGACAGTTGACCGTTACGTTGCTTTAAAGAGCAAGTCACCCCCAAATCAACTTTTTTTTGCTGATAAACTAAATAAACGAGTGTCTAATGGTGCTGCAGACACGTGTAGTCAATAATTTGGCACTTCAGTGCATCTTAGTTCAAATTTAAATATTCTGCCTAAAACTGGCAGTGTTGCGCCATTGTCAGGTAAAAACTTTGCACTGTATTTGAATTTAAATCTGCCACCGCTATTGGCTAAGGGGTGTGCTATGATGTAAACTGGTACATTATGATGTCACAATGCTGTCGTGAACCTGAGTGTGTATTTGTTAGCGGCTCCGCCCTTTCGGTCTGCCAGGCAACAGCATTTGTTGCATTTTTCAAACATGAAGTGGGAGTGGAGTAATAACACTCTTGTAGGGGGTGACTTGCTCTTTAAGCAGCAAAAGTGAGTTTTTAATTGGACTGCCAGAAGCTGTGGATGCTGTCTGCAGCAAAGCATCTGCTGCTTTTCTCCTGTGTTTTAAATGTTTATGGTGTGTTGAGTCCAAATCAGGCCTGACTAAAGAGCTATAATACAAAGTGAGACGTCTTGCTTAGCCCACTTTGAGGACTTTAAAGTCTGAGTTTCCCATATAGTGAAAGAGGCTCTTTATGTTGCCATGGTAACAGAGAATTTCTCAGGAGCAGGCCTTGAGTTCTGAATTTTGGTTATTAATCTGTAAAAAGCCCAACTTTTTTCACCTTCTCCTAAATCATAGTTCTTAAAGTAAGAAATATAAAAAGACATATTTATGAACTTTAATACAAATACATCTTATCAAGGCTACTTGGCTTCAGTTAGACATTAGCGGGAAAAAATACAAGAGAAATGGTGTTGATTTTTCACAATACAGTTATTCATGAAATAAAATGTGTAAATTTGTATTGTGGTTAGATTTACTTTAATGTATTAAAATAGATTTCATATATTGGAACTTAAGTAAGACTATTATATAATATATTAAATAATATATAATAGATTAATTAATTTGTTCAGGGAAACAATTTGCATGTTAAATTTCTAGCAATGTTGGGCATCTTATATTTAAAAAGTAATTAGTTATAGTTGCAAATTACTTTTTCAAATAAGTACTTGTAGTACTAGTTAGTAACTCATCGTTATACTATAACTCATTTATGTTCTTAAATATCTAAAGATTTTTTTTATAACTGAATGATCCTCAACTAACCAGAATCTGAAACATTCACTTAGCAAGAATGTTCTACTGAATTTCTGGAATGGTCATTTCTAATAGAAACAATAGAACGATACATGTCTGGAATGCTTATCCAGCCTACCTAATAAATGTTGATATCTTCATTAGAAATTTTGACTAATAAGAAGAAGTCAGATTGTTGATTTAATGTTAAAACTGCTTCACCTAGACTCACTAAGCCCCCCAGGTCCACCCATAGCCACACCCGTCCTTGTGTGTCTCAGACAATGTTTTTATTTTCTGGACTTAATGTTTTATGTTTTTTACTTGATCAGTGTAGCGCCTTGGTGACATCTTTTTGCCTGTAAGGCGCAATTTACAAATAAAGTTGAGTGTGTGTGTGTGTGTGTGTGTGTGTGTGTGTGTGTGTGTGTGTGTGTGTGTGTGTGTGTGTGTGTGTGTGTGTATACAGTCTTGCCGTTTGTTAGCAGCTGGGGGTAGGATGGGGGTGTGGGCTTCATTTGTGACCAAAACGCCACTAATGTGTCTGTCAGAAAGCCTGACACCACTGCGCTTCATTCAACCACGTTGTAGTCGCGCACCACTTTACATGCCCAGTTACGATAATGGCATTGCAATGATGGAAAAGTAACTAATTAGATTACTCCATTACTAAAAAAGAATGCAGTTAGTAATGCCGTTGTATGTCATTG